TTGTGAATATAAGGCTCTAAAATGTTCCTCCTATACAGAGGTAGGTAATGGGTGGGTATTGTGGCCCAGCAGGAGCCGTTGGAGCTGCCACCAGACTCCGATAGTGAGGGGTCCTATGAGTCGGCTCTGGAAGATGTGGAGGACCCTGGACAGGGTTCTGACTCCGAGCCAGGCACAGAGAGGCTGGTTGGCCACCAGGAGGCGCCTGAGCCTTGGACCAGTGGGTAGGGGACAGGGGAGTGTGATCCAGACATCATGCATTGGAGCAGTGGGGAGGAGCCAAGGGAGTTGTTCCTGGATGCTGGACACTGAAGAGCTAATAGGCATAAGGAACAGTTGTACAGTTACAGGAGATAATTGCACTCAGCTGGTGGTAATTAGGCTTCTCTCAAGACTATAAAAGGAATGATTGTGCACATGCCCTTTTGCGGGAGTCAATGTATTCACTAAAGTGGGAGAACTTTTGTGGCCGACTTGTCTGTGCTGGATTGCTGGCGACGTCTTGTCTGTGCTGGATTGCTGGCAACATCTTGTCTGTGCTGGATTGCTGGCAATGTCTTGTCTGTGCTGGATTGCTGCCAAGGGCCTGTCTGTCTGGATTGCTGCCAAGGGCCTTGTCTGTCTGTTAATAAAGTCCTTGAAGTATCTTTGTTCTCGGCGTGGTTTGGTGTAGGACGAGGGGGGTCAGAACAGGTGGGAGATTATGAGGTGCCAAAATTAGAGTAGAAGTCAGTTGGTAGATAACAGTTTGGCATCCTGTTATCAATCACTGTCAGGAAATTCTAAAAATTCTTTTTTTCTTTTGTAGAAGTTGTTTGCATTGTTTCTTCAGGAGCATAAGATTCAGAAAAAATATTTGAAAATTTAAATAATAAAATTCAGATAATTTTTCTGAATTTTATGCTTTGCTGATCTCTTTCATTAAGTTTAACAACTTTTAAGCAAAGGCAAGAACAGTCAGATTACTTAGTTTGTCATGTACATTTAGCAAACTATTAGTATAAAAACTTTGAAAATAAGAAGTGCATTATTTTCAATACTTTTCAAAATACTAGAACTAAGCTTGTAAAAGTGTGTTGTATCTGAAACTATATTCTGTCCCCCCAAAAATAAGATAACTGGCTAATAAGTTAGTTTTTGTTAAACATAATTTTGTATCATTGACCACCTCTGATAAAATCCTCTTGATAAATTTTCAGAAATTAATATGTGGTGCAACTTCCTTTCATGTAAATGTCACTTTAAATACTATTTTGAATATATTTAGAATTCTTTATCCTGTTAAATGAGCTGCCAATCAAGGAATCATAATATGGAAAATAGATTGTGTCAAATCCTCTTTGTATTGATTTTTTATTTTTGTGTTATATTTCTACAGATTCTATTCATTTTTAATTGATATGATAATTGCCTATGGTATATTTGTAACTCTTTGGCACTTAACAAATGGCTATTATAGATTTTTTAAAGAACAGAAAATTTATTCCAAATTAAAAAGAAGTGAACAGGAACAGGAGCAAATACAATCCTTTGTCCTGGTGTCAGGTCAGATGCTTCTGCTGATTTACCTTACCTGTCTTAAACTGATCTATCTCAAATTGGAAAACTTTAATTGTTCCCCATATATTACCTATAAATGTCGAGGTTTAGCTGGGCATAACTTACATTTGTTTTCAGTAGTTATAAAGCTTAATCAATGCTAAATGCCTTTTATCCTCAGTTCAACTATGGTTTATTTCCAGAATTTACCCTAGTGAAATTAAACGGAATAGATTTCAATCTCTGCTTGCTGAAAATAGTGACATAATGTTTAATTGGAAAATTACTTATAAATTTTAAAACAACCTTGCAGTAGGATATCCTATGCTAGATTGGGACTAGCTTTCAGTGGACAAGATCCCCACAGGTGTTTGTATCATCTCAATGAAGCTTGTTTTACTCATGAAACTAAAAGCAAGCATTCAAACCAATCTATTGATGCTATTTTTTTACCAATTATTCCATATCTTCATCTTGACTGAATGTATTATTGTTTGGAGACATTTTAGGTTTGTGTTACAGAACAAAATGCATATTAATAATAGGAAGGGCAAGCAGCATTTTTGTATATTAGGTTATTTTAAGTATCTACCTTTTGAAGAAGAAAATAAAACTTGTGGAAAGATGGATAAGAAAACATTATGTAGCTTGGAAAGAAAAATAAAATAGAATATTCATTTTAAAGGAAATCATTTTGATCAAAATAAACCAAATTATGACCAGTGGGACTTCTAGCAAACAATAGCAATAATTTAGTGAAAACATTTTCATCATTTTAGGAAAGAAATTATGTGTCTGTGATGTTGATGATTTACCCTAGTTCACATATGTACCATATAATGAGCTATAGTATATTAAATTATAACTTGCAATAACAATCAGCAGAAGAATATCAACAATTAAATACACCCATGATAAAACTACAATGAAGACAAAGTGTATTTATATCTAGATACACTTAATTACTGTAATTTCCTTGTAAAATATTAAATTCCTAAATATTGAGAGGAATCAACATAGCATACTCACACTGTTTACAGCATTTTCTTATTGTCTTAAGCTTTTCTTATTATTTATTATTAAGCATTTCTCTGAAATGTTTACATTTAGACCAGAACTAGGAGCAGGAAAGGATTCTTCAGCACCCATCTCATTTCTATCTGATTCCAGGGTGTACTGATTACACTTTAATATGATGAATCTTGTTAACAATGTGCAATGTATTTGGTCTGTGAATAAGTAATAGCAGCAGAAGCAACAGACTTGGAAGGGACATTGAAGGCCTTCTACTCCTGCTCAGCTAGAGACCCCATACGATTTCAGACAAATGGATGTCTCTTCTTAAAAGCCTTCAGGGATAGAATATCCACAATTTCTGAAGACAAACCATTCCACTGGTTGATTGTTTCTGTCAGGAATTTTTTCCTTAATTGTAGGTTGCTTGTCTCCTTGGTTAGTTTCTATCCATTGCTTGTTTTGCCTTCTGGTGCTTTGGAAAATAAGTTGGCCTCCTCTTCTTTATGGAAGCCCTTCAAATATTGGAACACTGCTATCATGTCTAAAGTGACCAGATTTTAAGATGGGTAAAGCGGGACACCATTGACGGACGGAGGGCTCGGAGCACCTGAGCTGTAAAAAAAAAGAGAGAGGGCTGTAAATGGTGCTTTTACAGCCCTCTTTGAACAGTTTACAGGATGGAAAAGGGAGGGAGGCGAAGGAAGGAAGAAAGGAAGGAGAGAAGGGAGGGAAGGAAAGAGGGGAGGGAGGCAAAAGGGAGGAAGGGAAGAGAGGGGAGGGAGGAAGAACCCGGCTTTCCCGAGAACGGTCTGCTCTGGGCCGGGAACGGTGAACCAAGAAGTTTAGATGGGACTTTGCTGGCGGTTGCGAAGCAGCCTTCCCCCGATTGCCTTCCCCCAACGCCCCCAACCCTTTCAAAAGCCATCCCCATCGCTAGCGTCTCCCAACCGGATCCCCGCCTGCCTCCCCTCGGCTCACCCAGACCAGGTTGTGGATGGGGGCTTGCATGGAAAGGCTGCAGGGAGAGCGGTGCCTGAGAGAAGCGGGCAAAAAAAAAAAAACTTCCGACGGCTGAGCCGCTTGGCCCGGGACCGAGCCTCCTTGCCGCGCTGCCGCCACCAGAAAGCCCTCCACTCAAGGCCGCCGGATGGCTGTCGCAAAATATCACGCATCAGCATGCGCAGGAGGGGAGGGAGCTTTGCCCCTCATCGGGCGCTGCGAGCAAGCCGAGCGGAGGGAGGAAAACCACTGCCCTCTAAAGGCCACATCAAGAATGACACTTCAGAGAAATAAAAACTTTTTTTTAACGGCGTCCTTTTTAAAATGGATGATTCGGCATCTTTTCTTTCTTTTGGAAAATCAGGACTTTTTGAACACGCCATGCGACAAATTTTGAAAAACTGTGACTGTCCCGCCAAAAGTGGGACGTCTTGTCATCTTAGTCATGTCACCCCTGGTCCTTTTCACTAGACTAGAAATACCCAGTCACTATTGCTATATCACTATAGAAGGGGAAATATGAATGCAATAAATACAGACAATCATATAATTTATATATTTTCAAGAAACAATCTGAATTTCAAATAATCTCAAAATGCTGACAATTATATTTGAACTATAGGATATATATTTTTCTTTCTCATTTTTTTCATTGTATTTTTTTTAAATACAGGAATCAGTTAGAACAATACTAGTGCCTGTTTGTCTTAATTTTTAAAAAGTACTATTTTAAAAAACTTTACCAGCTGGTTTTTCTTTACACATTCACAACTGAATCCAAATAAGAACAGTTTCTGAAAGTTTGTTCCTCAAAAATGAAAGAAAATATTCATGTGATTTGTAGCGTTGACTTCCTCAAAAGGGTTTTGTTTTAATAACAATTTCCTTATTTTACAAGCCATGCCTCTGTGAAAGCAGAGTGAAGAGCTCGAAATATATATAAATCATGTGGAAAAGTAATAAAATATCTATGTTTTATTTTGTGGACAAAGAATCCAATTTATGTAACTTCTTCCAACAGGCAAGTAGTCCTACTACAGGGACAGCTCCCGGGAGCCAATCACGGTTATCTGTCTGCCCATCTACTCAGGACATCTGTAGGTATGTGCTAAATTAATATTCCTAATCTGTTTAGTACATATTCTCTTTGTCAAATGAGCTATGGATATTACTTTTGTCTAATTACTTTCATGTATTTTCACCCATCTGTTTTTTTTATCATTTTCAATATCATGTTCATTTTCCATTTGACTCTTTTACTTTATTTATGTTCTCTCTCTTTCTCTCTCTGTCTCCCCTTCCCCTCTCTTTTTTTATCACTATCCATCTCCTTGTCCTCTTGTTCTGTTTAGATCTTCCACTTTACATGACCTATCAGAGGATACATTTGAAACATCCATCCATGTCATGGGGCTGAGTTCTGCTAGGAAAAATCATGTTAAAAAGGTGAAACAAGGTGTTAGGCAGAGAAAGAAGGCCGAGGAGAATTCTGATGATATAGTAAAGCAAAGAAAAGACAAGGATGTCAAGACACATCCCAAGATCACAAATCCTCGATGGAACGCCTTTTGTAAAACAACATCCGATTCTTCAACTTCAGATGAAAATTATTGGGCCCAAGTTAGAAAAAAAGATAGAGCCAAAATGCTTAGGAAAACGAGAAGACAGAACCCTCCAAATGTTTCTACAGATGAGCGTTGCAATAAGAACACTATTGAACTTGCCACAATGGGAATAAGTAAGGAAAAGAAGTCAGATCTTGAAAGCTATAATCTAAATAATAGGAAGACAATTAGAAGGTATAAAGAAAACTCCCTCTCATTATCTTCTGTGTCCTCTGTGGAACCCAACTCCTTGAGACGGTCTGGAAAACACCAGAATAGCCATCAAGATTCAGAACCTTCCGCTTACATTAGGCAAGGTAGCACAAGCAAGGAGGACAGTAGTTCGGAGGAAAGCATAGGCAGAGATCTTTTTACAGTTACAGGAAATGGAACACCTGCTGAGACAGGGGCTTCTGTGACAGTGGCTGCTCGGAAACGTCCTGTGTTTTATGATGACTTATCTGACGAATTTGACGTATGCAGGTTTGTCTCATAATACAAAAGGGAATTGCTAGCTGGCTATCATAGATTACGCAAAAAGATGGGGTTATGTTTTCTTTTCTATAAATCATGTTCCTTTTTGGAGTTTATATAAGTATGATTACATGCTTGCCAACTAAACAGTTCGAATGGTGCATAAACTTTAATTATGAAATTGTAAAAAAGCTTTTGAGACATAATATCGAACCATCTCAGATTAATAATAACAGATGCACAGCACATTTCTCTTTTAAAATAACACATTCTTCTTCCTTTTCATTCTTTTTTATTTTTAACTAAATTGTGCAACAACAATTCAGTGAAAATCTTTGTTGTTATTATTTGTAAGAACATCTTTCCAATTCGCAAACTGTCATGTTTACAGACCTTCAGTTAAGTCTTTATAAATATATTCTTTGCCTGACCTAAATTTTAATGTTCCATAATTTATGCTGTCTATTTTGACCTCCCATTTTGGGTCAAACCAAAATGCCCTTTATTAATATTTGTGGTAACCATTTCTGAAGAATTATAGCTGCAAGAGCAGGGTGTTAGAATTTATGGTGCTGAATATAATATAAACATTAATGATGTATTTCAGTGATATTATTCTAGTGACAGCACTCATTAATGGGTACCATAAGTATATTTGAAATTTTATTATTCTAGATATATAGATATATAAATATTATTATATAAAGATAAATAGATATTTTCAAATTAATTAACACATTGTAGTGCCTGTGGAAATCAATAATTTTTTTCAGTCTGATATCAAAACATTAAATCAACAAACAGCTCATCTCTAGAAATCAATGCTCTACAAATTTCCCCCAATGAAATCAATGATAATTGTAGCTTAAAGGCTTCAGGAGATAACTAAGATCATTAGAAAACTGCTAGTATATTATGCATGACAAATAAAGTTAAATACTGAAAATTAGTTTATTATTGGGTTTTCCAAAATGGGCTTTGCTTTAGATCTATTTTTTTGTGTGACACTCTATAAGAATTCTGAAATTATTAATTATATCACTTTGGGATGAATAATCCATATAGTTTATGAATCTCTAGACATAATATGTCTCATAAAGTGATTTTATTATAGTCATATCCTTTCCTATGACTAGAAAAAATATGGCCTTATACTCTGAAAATGGAAATGATTTAAATGCAGTTGTTTTTGTTTTTTTTGTTTTTTTGGCATAACATCTTTGACACATTGGGAATTCATTTTGAAAAATGTGTAAAAGGCAACATTTTTATGCCCATCCATCTAATTATTTTAACCATCATTTAAATTGTGGACAAGAATTATCCTATAAAGATTTTTTGCTTGAAACAGCCACCAAGGGATTAGAGTGCATATGGATTCTTACATGTTTTGTCATATTTTCCCATTTATGGCCTAATAAATATTTCTATTTTAGTACGGTCAGTTACTCAGAAAACCAGGAAACTGACATGCTTCTATGAGGACATTTGGGAAAGATTAAAACAATGATAGATTATGCTGTCATCACAGAATTTGTGGCATTAGTCCTTGTGAATTGGGCTCCTCTCCTTTCCCCGTTTTTCAGATACATACATATTTCTTTTCATAAGTCCAATGTGTATAAAGTACATTTTAAAAACATGCTGCAAAATCTGTTGTTACTTTCTACCAACAATAAATTGCAGCTAAACAAGCTGAAAAAACATTAGGAGAAAGATTTATAATACAGTAATCCTGAATCAGCCAAAAGTCAGCTTCCTTTTTTTACACTGGAAAAAAAAAAAAAAAAAAGTTGCAATGCTCCAGTAAATTAAAGCCAATTTTGGTGTGTTTTTGGTTAGTCAGTTTCTTTAGAAAAGGGTCCTTGGTGTTTTCTGAGCTTGTTGTTTCCTTGCAGATGTTTCATTACCCAAATTGGCTCACATCATCAGTGCTAGTAAGGAGTGCTGTTTGCTGTCAATTTATATTCTCACAACTTGCCTTTCAATTTTGGTGAGAGTGGCCTTAGAGATTCTTTGATTAGGCTGTTTGCTGTTGACTTCTTTGGCAGTTTCCTGATTGTTTACTTGATTGTTGGTCTGATATTATCCTTGGAGTTAATCTACCCTGAACTGGGTGCTAACAGACTGGGGCATAGTCTATTTTGTATAGTAGTTGTTAATATCTATCTGTCTATTGATTTGTCAGAGTTCCAGACGTCTAGAAATTCCCTGCCATTTTTGGACTTGGCTTGGTTT